CCACACACACACACACACACACACAAACACAAACACACAAGGAAAGTCGGGAAACCCTTTGAGACAACGTGCTAACGTCTTATGAAGGAGAATGAATGCTACGCATAAGGGTGGGCCGCCTTCTTTTCTTTTTTTTTCTTTTTTTTTACAAGACGAAATCCATTAAGCTACAGGCTGCCAAGTCTATAGCTTGTCAGATGTTGTCTACAGGGCCTGAGTCTATAAGCCGTAGAATTCTGTTTTTTTTTAACTTTATTTCTCGGATTTTTGGCTCTCTGACCTCGTAGTTCGCCGCGCCGGTGGGGACCACCGGTGATGATTACTTCGTTTCATTGGGTAAATGCTTTTCTGCAAGCATCCGGTTTTTTTTCTCAGCAGGCGCTGGGCACTAGGTCTTCCGACTAAGAGAGATTCGTCAAAGGTCCTAGTGATATGCTTTTTTTAAGAAGGCAACTATTAAGAGGACTCGAGTCGTTCTAGTAAATCCTTTTGGCTAGCGGGGTTTGACAGAACGAACGGAGGATTTTGGGTTTAGGGTTTGAATGAAGAAACCATTGGACTACTGCGACTTTTCTTTCCTCTGTGTGTTTCGCCGTGTGTATGCTGCTCAACGGTATTCATCTCACATAATCATGCCAAGTCACCTTTTAAATTTGCTAACTTTACTTCTTTTTTTTTTTTTAAAAGGCCCCACAGTGCATAAATATATGGGCCAATCATCTAGCAAGAGGAGGAGAAGGACAAGGGGAAGTAGGAGAAGGAGAAACGGTGGGAGGAGGAGGAGATGAAGGATCGGGAGTAGGAGATGGATGCCGGGAAAACGGAGGAAGAAGAAGAAGAAGAGGAAGAGGAGGAGGAGGAGGAGGAGGAGGGAGAGAGAGGTGCACAACCCTTCTTCTACTCACCTTCTCAATCAGTCCATGCACACCACTGCTTGTTGGCGACGAGCTTGTGCCTCCCTCAGTTTGAATTATGTCAACGCCTTCTGCTTCGAGAGCCTCGGCAAGTTTCACCTGCAACAATCAGGTAGAAAGTACCGCATAAGACACAGTTTGGTATTCACCTGCAACAATCAGGTAGAAAGTACCGCATAAGACACAGTTTGGTATTATTTTTTCCCTTTTTTTTTTTCGGAGGAAAGTAAGGGAACCCGTTTCATCATCCTCTGCAGCACAATAGCAAAAAAAATAATGTTTCTTTACTCTTTTTTTCCTCTCAAGCTCGAGAAGAGGCACAGGAAAGGACACAAATCTCTGGGCATACTCGCATACAGACTTTTCTGGATGTACCTGACTACAATTACGGGCTTTGGCGGATGTATCTGGCAGGAAAATTACATCCAAATATCAGTCAAAAAAAGTCATACAGTGAGTCGCATCTCCTTAATTGACTGATTTTTTTTTTTTCGTAAGGACTTTTTTCGCAAGGACATGCGAGTCCAAGGGTCAAAATTTCTCAAAGAAGAAATGACTCCAAAATTCCAAATCTAAATCTGAGTTCTGGGGGGTCTAAAGTGGCCGCGTCAACCGTCCTCACCCAAATAGAACGACCGGCGATATTCGCTGTATTTAAAGCAACTTCCAGTCTAGATACAGCGACAACGACGAGGCATTCTATATTCCGGGGAAGACGGTAGGGCCAGGAGTCATCGAGTCATCGGAGGAGTTGTCTGAAGAATCGCCTGATACGTTCCTCAGGCCAAACACCCGGTCATAACGGATGTATCTATATCTATAGACTGAAAAACGCACCAAATAATTTTGAAGTGACTGGGCGTTCTATTCGCCCGACATCGGGAGGGCGACTTTTCCAGACCCTGAGGGCGTAGAGGCTCAGATATATATACCCTCAGGGTCTGGAAAAGTCGTCATCACGTTGTCGGGCGAATAGAACCCGCAGTCAATTGAGATTATTTGGTGCGATTTTCAGTCTAGAATCTGGATACAGCCAGAATGACCGGGTGTTCGGTTCTGGTGAAGACGGTAGGCCTGAGGAAAGTCAACGGTCAAGCCCGCCCCGGGCACAGCGGACCGAGAGTCAAAAGGTTTTCGCAGAGGGAAAGTCCAGCACCGATCTTTGCCAGAGGAAAGTCCAGCAAAGGTTCCGGAAGCCTTCAGACTACCGCCTTCAGCCGACTACAACGCCCGGTCATCATGGCTGGATCTAGTCTGAAAAGTGCACGAAATACAGCTATAATAACGGGGCGTTCTATTCGGGTCACGACGGTAGCTAGGAAAAGGCACGCAGGGGCATGATCAGGTCCTGGCCGCACAGATCAACACAATCCCGGCCGGTCGTTCGAGGAGGCGACCTGAGTCAGGCCGAGGTCGAGTCAATGCTACAACAGCAGGCCCTGACTCAGTTCAGGCATGTGATTCACTCTGCCCGACAGGCAAGGCAGCCACAGCTCGGAGGGGCGTTTGTAGACTAGGGGATGCTGCTGCCTTCATAGCCGTAGGTGAGAGACAGCGACGACAGATGGTTGCAGCTGAGATCTGGCATCTGGGGAGAAAGTTTTGCTTACCTGCTTTCTCTCTGACTGATGCTCTTCATGACAATGACTTCTCGAACACTCAAGATATGCATTACTGTTTTTTCACGAACTGGGCACTAGCCACAAGAGAGAGAGAGAGAGAGAGAGAGAGAGAGAGAGAGAGAGAGAGAGAGAGAGAGAGAGAGAGAGAGAGAGAGAGAGCAACACCCTGCCTCTCGTCATTGTCCCCGGTGCCTAGAAAGCAGAGCCTGGCTCAGAGAGAGAGAGAGAGAGAGAGAGAGAGAGAGAGAGAGAGAGAGAGAGAGAGAGTGGTGAGGCAGAAGCAGTGTTGACGACGGTTGCCGAGAAACTTGTTCGCTAGAGAGAAAGGACGCGATTGGCGACGAACGGAGACGATCGACTCCACAGCTCACCCACGCTTCGGGCGCACATGCAGTGCACAGCGCACACACGCGTGATGTGGCACACCCCGAAAACCAGGGCCGAAGAAAAAAGAGGGAGAGTCAAGGTGTGATAGCACGCCCTGCCCCTCCCGTCCCCCTCAAAAAAATGTTAGTTGGCAAAGGGAACGCAGAATTGGGGCCTTGCTAATATACAGCCGCTGCAAAAAATGTGTGCACGTGTGTGTGATGTGTGCTTTCAGAGAGCTCTTATCTTTCACACACATTCAGCGCTTTGTGAATGGATACAAACTAACTTTCAGGTAGGAATCATCCACTATGAGTGTGCTTTGTTTTTTTTCTCCCCAATGGGTAGCGTGCTGGATAGAGTAATTGGTACCTTCGACCTCATCAGGCTTCTGACAGCCCGATGTGTTTTTTTTGGTGCCGTCTTTTTTTGGTGCCGTCTTTTTTTCGGCTTTTGGCTACTAGTATAGAGGGTTTCGTCTTCTCACGTATCATGCCATGTTCATTACCTGTAGGTCCTGTACCCATATGTCTGGATGTGTCCAAGCAATCATTACAGTCCGAGACATTCATAATGATGGTGCGTTGTGTTCTAGAAAACCTACAGCCCTATTAGTAAAGAGTGTAATTCTAGCGGTCTGTTTCAGGGTAGACGACTGACCCTCATCATGACTGTACTGGACCGGAAACGTAGCTACATACATTCACGGAGAGAGGGGTGCTGGCCACTTCAAAGTCACAAGTTTGTGAAGTTACCGTTACATCAAATCAATTTTGGACTCGTTCGATGTGTACAGGCAAGCAACCCTCCAGGTGCGATGAAGTACAGACAAGGGGACGAGGTGCGTACTGCTGTTTTTTCTTTAGTTTGTTTGTTTGTTTTGTTTTCTTAACGTGCAAAGTCCTTCACCGACCGTTTCTTAAACTTCATTATGGGGCGTTTCTTCAACCACCGTGGGGTGTCTCTCCTTCCTCTGTCTGTCTGTCTGTCTGTCCGTCTCTCTCTCTCTCTCTCTCTCTCTCTCTTGTTGTGTACCCGTCTCTTTCTGTGTCCAGTCAATCACTGTACTATGGACGAATGAAAGTGCATCATGAAGCATCTCTCTCTCTCTCTCTCTCTCTCTCTCTCNCCCCCCCCCTCTCTCTCTCTCACACACACACACACACACACACACACACACACACACATGCACACACATACACATGCGAAGGCCCTTTTTTTTTTCTTTTTTTTTTTGCTGTTGGTTTATTTGGTGTCCACACTGTGCACTGGTGACAAGTGTGGCTTAAAAGGTGTGGGACGTTTGTTATAATGAAGCAAGAGGCAAAGTTGACACGCAAGTCGCAATGCATAGTACATCCAATGCACACCGAAGCATACATCAAGTGCACGCAGAGACCCGTAGTCGTCCCAGCATAGATGTCACGTCGCATCAGCTGCTGGAGGCATTAGCCGCGTAACACAATCATCCCCGTCTTGCCGCACACCCAAGAACCGCCGAACCCTCATCTGACCGACAGAGTCATGCGCTGCTGACTCTCCTCGATGCTCGGAAGCATCGAAAGGTGTGGCACGTTTGTTATACCGACCCTGAAAAAGACCTCCTGAAAATTTAGGGCTCTGTTAACCACTTCTCGGATAGCAGGGGCGTGGTCCCACTAGCAAATAGGATCGGATCGAATACCTGAATCTGGACGTGTTTGTAAACAGGTGCAGGAAATCGAGATTGAATCATTGAACTGCTTTTCTGCATCTCTGCATAAAACACATCCAGATTCACGAGCTCAGTCCTATCCTTTTTGCTAGTGGGACCTCGGCCCCCAACCTTGCAAGACTTTCTTCATCACCTACTAAAATTTCCAAAGGCCTGGGGCTACCGGACGACCAATGGCTCTGGTGGCACCAGCCACAAAAGAAAAAAACTGTGTGCTGATGGCGGTTCGGCAGAGCTTGCCAAGCAGTGCGGCGCCACCAGGGCCAGGTCTACCGATGGTTCACGATAGATTGCAAGGAGACAGATTTAATGAATTTTACTCAGATATGAATAATAAATCAGCAATCGGATTCACCTCTCCTAGTGTGGCGACGCGATTATTCCAAAAAAAATAAAAAAATAAAAAAATAAATAAATAAAAAAACAGTAATTGGATACAAACAGGGTGGGCCCTCGCAATCGACAGTGTGACTTCTACTTCTTAACAAGTTTTTGAGTTAACCGAACATACTCTCTTTTTTTCGTTAAGAAAAGAGAACCAGAAATATGAATCAATCTACTCAGCAACAAGGACGATCAAACGGACAGGTGCGCCACCCAAGTGTGTACCACAATCTAGTCGCCCACCTACCTACTGGCTTGCCTTGGAGAACAAGCGGCTAGCATGCCATTGTCCCAGTCCGTGGCCCTCCCATTTCCCGAGAGGTATGTCCATGAGTTCAGGTGGTCCCATTACCAAAGTTCCATCACGGTCCCATTTCGAAAGTTCTGCAACTTCCATTTTAGGTCCCATTTCCGCAGTTCCATCAGGGGCCTATTTTTTTTTTTTTTTTTTTTTTTTTTCGAAGTCTTGCAAATGCCAAATTCAGGTCCCGTATCCGTAGTTCAATCAGCGGGGTATTTTAAATAATAATTATATTTTTAAAAGGAGGAGTTTAGAAGTTCTGCAACTTCCATTTCAGGTCCCATTTCCAAAGTTCTGCAACTTCCATTTCAGGTCCCATTTCCACAGTTCCATCAGCGGCGTTTTTTTTTTTTTGCGGGGGGGTGCGGGGGGGGGAGGGGGACGTTTCCAAAGTTCCTCAACTTCCATTTCAGGTCCCATTTCCGCAGTTCCATCAGGGGCGTTTTTTTCCTTCTCGGTTTATGCGTGTCATCCATGCGCGCAGGGGCCATGCAAATCTTCTCCGCGTCATTCTAATTTTAACGGATGTCCCAATGGACTCCTCCGGGGCATAGTTCAAAAATGGTAGAATGCGTGTTTTGCCAGCGAGAAGCAATGGACTCCTCCGGGGCATAGTTCAAAAATGGTAGAATGCGTGTTTTGCCAGCGAGAAGTTATCGGTTCAAGACTTCCAAGTGCAATTAGAATATTATCAAACCCAAAGATTCCAAAC